GACAAAAGAAATTTGATTTGTGACTACTGTAAGAAGCCTAAACACACAAGAGATACTTGCTAGAAGCTTCACCCACATCTTGTGCCGGCTAAACTGAAAAATAAGAAGGGAAATGCACACATGGCAATTACTGGTGACATTTCGACCCCTCCTACTACAGTTGTTCTGGAGTTTGTTGCAGCTGTTGTAGTAAGGGCCAAACTTGAGAGGTATTGACAACTTTTGAACTAGCGGGATACAGCCAGTTCCAGTTCTGCAACAAGCGGACAACAAGGTACAGGTGACACTAGTGGAGTCCACTCTACTGCCTTAGATCACACAAGTAATTCACACGTCACTGCAAATTATATTTCTACTTCAGGTAARGAGGGACCTCCTTGGATTTTATAGATTCTGGAGCCTCAGTGCACATGACTCATAGCTCTACTATTTTTTCTTCTTACCAGCTCTGTTCTGGCAGAGATAGGGTCTCCATAGCTGATGGATCCCATGTTCCTATTGCTGGGAAGGGATCTGTCAAAATTAGTGATTCTATTTCTCTACCCTCAGTCCTCATGTACCTAGATTGAGCACTAATTTGTTATCTGTTAGTAGTTTGATTAAGAACCTGAACTGCTCAGTAATTTTTTCTCCTGGTCATTGTATTTTGCAGGATATGGATTCAAAGAGGACGATTGGGAATAGTCGTGAAGTGAATGGGATCTACCTCCTAGATGTTCTTCCTCCTCATCAGAGTCATCATGTCAGTAGGGATAGTGAATCAGGGTCTGTGGGTCAAATTATGCTTTGGCATAATCGTTTGGGCCATTTACCTTTTTCTTCTGAGTCTTTTGTTTCCAAAACTTTTTGAGTCTATTAGTTTGTCAAGTCTGGAGTGTGAAGGTTGTCAACTTGGAAAGCATTGTAGACATTCATTTAAACCTAGTAATAAAAGGTATTTTTCTTCTTTTAATGTTATTCATTCGGATGTGTGGGGACCTTACCATGTTCCTTCTATGGGAGGCTATCAATATTTTCTCTTATTTGTGGATGATTTTTCACGATACTCTTGGATTTACCTGATGAGATCCCGCAAAAGTACCATCCTTGGTGAGACAATTTCATCAGATGGTGCTAACACAGTTTGAAACAAGAATAAAGGTGTTCAGATCAAACAATGCCAGGGAATATTTTGAAAAACACCTTCATGTCTGTTAGAATATGGTGTTGTCCATCAGAGTTGTCCCTATAGTCCACAACAGAATGGTGTTGTAGAAAGGAAGAACAGACACATTGTTAAGATTGCAAGAAGCATGATGAGCACATCTATAGTTCCAGTTCGGTTTTGGGGTGATGTAGTTCTCACAGCAGTATATCTGATTAACAGGGTGCCCTCTCGTATACTTGGACTCAACACCCCATTCAGTCTCCTTTTTCCTGAGGGGGAGATGTTTCATATTCCTCTCAAGGTGTTTGGGTGTGTCTACTTTGCACATGTCCCTGGTCCTCACCGCTCAAAGCTTAATCCCAAGGCAAAGAAGTGTGTCTCCCTTGGATATGCAGAAAATCAAAAAGGGTAATGCTGCTATGATCCAATCTATGAGAATCGGTATGTAACCATGGATGTCACTTTTTTGAATCCACATACTTCTTTTCAAAGAATCCTTCTCAGGGGGAGTGTTTTGGGGAAGCGAGTCAGCAGTCTATTCCTCTCCCAATTCCAACCCCTGTGTCTACTTCTGTGCTTGACCATCCTGTGTCACCTACCATACCACCTCCTTTGCGTCCTGCTTCTCAGCATCACTTACGACAAATACTTCACAAGGAGGTTGATTCAACTACAACAGAACTCACATCACTTCCTGTCAATTCCTTAGAGACTCTAGATTCGGCTGACATGGATTCAAGTATTCCTCTTGATCCCGCTACTGTTTCAGTTCCCATTGATTCTACTAAACCTGTTACAGATAACTTTGATCTTCCTATTGCTCTTAGAAAAGGGAAGAGAAAATGTACCACTCATTGTATTTCACAGTACTTATCCTACAGTGGACTTTCTCCTTCCTACCATGTTTATCTTTCCTCCCTTGACTCAGTGTCTATACCCAAGGGTGTTAGTGAGGCTCTCTCCAAACTTGAATGGAAGACAGCTATGCAAGAAGAAATGGCAACTTTGATTAAGAATCAGACATGGGGCATTGTGGATTTATCAAAAGGCAAGGAGACAGTTGGATGCAAATGGGTTTACACGGTAAAATATAAGGCAAATGGAAGTATAAAAAGGTACAAAGCAAGACTTGTTGCAAAAGGGTACACACAGACCTATGGTGTTGATTACTTAGATACCTTTGCATCGGTTGCAAAGATGACCTCTGTTCGGATACTTCTTTCTCTTGCTGCCTCTTACTCTTGGCCCTTGTTTCAACTTGATGTGAAGAATGCTTTCCTAAATGAGGATCTGCAAGAGGAAGTGTATATGAATCTTCCTGCTGGCTTTTACAGTGATAGTAAAAAGGGAAAGGTATGCAGGCTTAAGAAGTCACTTTATGGCTTGAAACAATCTCCCAGAGCATGGTTTGACAGATTCAGAAAGGCCTTGATTGCTTTTGTTTGTGAAGCGTAGGGGATCTTTGGTGTCGGTCCTAATTGTTTATGTGGATGATATTGTTGTCACGAGGAATGACCTAAGTGAGATTGATTATCTGAAAGGGAATTTACATAAAGAATTTGAAATTAAAGATCTTGGAGAACTGAGATACTTCCTAGGCATTGAAGTTGCAAGATCAAAACATATAATTTTATCTCTCAAAGGAAGTATATCTTGGATCTTCTTCAAGAGACAGGGAAGCTTGGAACGAAGGCAATCAATACCCCTATTGATCAGAACCATAGAATCAATGCATCAGAAGGTGAACCAGTAAAGGACATTGGGAGATATCAAAGACTTCTGGGTCAACTACTATAGATGTGTATGACAAGACCAAACATTTCCTATGCAGTAAGTGTAGTAAGTCAATACATGCATGCTCTACAAGTCCAGCATTGGGAGGCAATTGACAGGATTCTGGAGAAGTTTGTCTTCCACTCATTGCTTCTGATCTGCAGCTCACGGATGTTCACACAAAAGGTGTTGCAAAGAACGAACTGGAGCATGATCTACGCAAGTTGGGAATGTGTGGCATTTACTCCCAACTTGAGGGGGAGTGTTGAGTTGGGCCTAGTTGTTTTTTATTCTTATTTTAAGCTATTTRRTTAGGAAGTTGTTGGGCTTTAGGCCCATTAGTTTATGTTTTTAAGTTGTAGTTGTTCAGCTACATTAGTAACCGCCCTACTAAGGGCATCTTTGCCCCTGTTGCCAAGATGACTTCTATGAGAGTTCTACTATCTTTGGTTGCACACTCAGACTGGCCACTTTATCAACTAGATGTAAAGAATGCATTTCTGAATGGAAAGTTACATGAGGAGATCTATATGTCTCTTCCTCCAGGGATGTATGAAACAGATATGAAAGGAAATGTCTRTAGGCTGAAGAAAAATCTCCTTATGGACTCAAACAGTGCCCTAGAGCATGACTTGAAAGGTTTAGGGCTGCCCTTGTTAGCTTTGGCTATGTACAGACACAGTTTGATCATACCCTCTTTGTGAAGAAGAGAGGATCCTTGGCTGTTTACTTGATTGTGTATGTTGATGATATTGTTGTGACTGGTAATGATGTCTTAGGGATTAATGATCTCAAATATTTCCTTCATACAGGGTTTGAAATCAAAGATCTAGGGGAATTGAGATACTTTCTTGGCATAGAAGTTGATAGATCCAAGGATGGGATCTTTATCTCTCAGAGAAAGTATGTTCTTGATTTGCTCTCTGAAACAGAGAAGATGGGTGTTAGACCAGTTGTTACTCCTATCGATATGATCCATTAACTCTCTGCTTCAGATGGAATATTGTTAGAAGATAAGGGAGTCTTCTAGAGACTACTTGGAAAACTTCTTTATCTATGCATGACTCAGCCAGACATTGCATATGCTATCAGTTGCATTAGTCAGTTCATGCATACTCCCAGGGATACTCACATGGCAGCAACAGAGCGGATTCTATGTTATTTGAAGGGCTCCCCTGAAAAGGGAATTCTCTTTGCTAAGCATGGCCATATGAAACTTGAAGCCTACACAGATGACCGAAGATCTACCTCTGGGTACTGTAGCTTGGTGGCAGGTAATATTGTCTCTTGGAGAAGCAAGAGACAATCAATTATTGCTTGATCTTTAGCCAAAGTAGAATACAGAGCCATGGCTCATGGAATTTCTGAACTATTGTGGCTTAGATCCTTGATGAAGGAATTATAAGCCAATGATGTTATATTGTGATAATCAGGCCGCCATCAACATTGCTCACAACCCAATGCAACATGACAAAACTAAGTATATTGAAGTTGACAGACACTTCATTCAAGAAAGAGTGGCTTCTGGAGAGGTGTGTCTACCGTTCATCACCTCTAAAGGACAGTTAGCTGATTTCCTCACCAAGGGCATTCCCAAGGCTAAACTTCAGCATGATACTGGCAAGCTTGGYATGATTGACATCTATGCTCARCTTGAGGGGRAGTGTAGAGAAGATGGGCCGAATGGCCCATAGGCTGTTTATCCTTTTTTATTTTTTATGTTCTTTGCTGTAATGGGCCTTAATCTAGGCTTTATTCTTTCTTATGTTATGTCTTTTAATTTTCTGCCCAACTAGGGGCTTCTTTGTAAATTATTAAAGTTTAACTTAATGAAATAGAATTAAGGGAGTAAGATAAGAGATTATGTTCAAAAATCTCTCTCTGAACCCAAGTTGTCGCCACCTTCTTCTTCTTCTTCTCTCCTCTTGAACTCTGATTTCTGCTACTTTCTTTTGAATTTTTGCAACTTTCTAAACAGTCATTTCTTCTCGAAATGTTGTTTTTCTTCTTTACCAATTGAAGAGCATAACTAAAACTTATAGAAAAGAACAATTGTACAGGAAGGGGGAACATAAAATACCTTTGTAAAGCTTCCATGGGGCGATTGGCTAAGTTCATCATCAAAAGGGTCCCTTAATCCACCATCAGTCTTCAAAGAAAATAAAACAAATGTCACAAGGAAAAAAAAAAAGCAATGACAAAAAAACCAAAATCACAAGTAGTGAAAGACAAGGCAGCAATAGAAGTACATCTTTATTTTTCATAAAACTTAGCTAGATGAAAATGTTTTCCTTCAATAACATTAAGCTACTCAAAATTGATTACTTTTTAGCAGGACTCAACAATCAATTACCCGCCAAGTCTGTTCAGACCCAGAACTACTGAGCAAAGCATCTCTCTCGAGATGTAGTGTATAGACTTTCTTTGACTCTTTTGTCTTGGATGAAACTAAAGCACACCTGCGATATAGTGGGAAATGGAATTGAATCTGAATGTGCTACTAAATGGTATTACAAAAAAAAAAAAAAAAAAAAAACGATGAACATTTTTTTTGTAGAAGCCATACCTCCCTAAGTGCATGCTTGCAATAGGTCCCCCATAACCAAACATACCAAAGAAAGGCTGCAAGGATACCAGAAATTTCATTCAACACAACCAAGAAAATTTCAAGAAGGAAAGGAAAGATCATGCCCCACATTGAAACTTATTATGGACAAAATTCAATAAATCATTATTAAATAGGAATCTGTTTTCTGTTAGTAGTCTCATTAAATAGTTTACTGTCAAATAGGGAGGTTTTCCTCCAATTGCTTGCCCTCTAGATGACCTATGAAGCGACGCACCCATTTTTCCCCTGGAAACAGAATTTTGAAAACCAAATCAGTTCCAAGAAAGATTTAGTATCATAAATCTATATGCAAAAGGGAACAAAAATGCAAAAAGAAAACCTAAAAGCACCAGGTATCAATTAAAAAGAAGATCAGCTTTGCAATATTGCATTCTGTCAAAGAGAGACGTATCGGTTATTGCATTTAACTCATACAGGTGACCATATCAATGAACATGGACAGTATGGATCTCTATAAACTAGGAAACTCAAAATAATCTAGGGTTTTTTGCAGTATCAGAGCATTTATCGTAAGGTTAAACATATTCAAAGTTAACATCAATGGGGTAGTCAGCACTTAAACCAGGAGTTGGATGTTTGAGATTAATTTTGGAGCTAAAAATAGGTATTGAAATGTGGATCCAATAAATAGTATTATGGTGTGGCACAACAATAAGGATTGTTCTCCAACCATTCAATAAAGTGGGTTCTTTTTTTTTTGAGAAAAAAGCTATAAAGATGTACAGGTATGTGCATGTACAATGAGCCACAATACAAAATATACTGCAGCTCTCCTGCTAAGCTTAGAAAAACAATGCAGCAGTATCAAAATAGTTTTGATGTGGAACATATCTAACTGTTTGTTGCTGCCAGCCAAGAGTGGATGACACCCAAGTTCTTTCTAAACATTTCCTCTACTGAACTTTGCTTCAAATATTATCTGGTTCCTCCCCTTCCAAACAGACCAAGATACCACTGCAAGTAAGGTTGTCCATAACAATTTTCTTTTTCTGCTTACACCACTCACCTTCCAGGAGTTCAAATGGTCTGCCACCCTTTCCAGGAAAGTCCAAGATAGGTTAATCGGTCTGCAAAAGTGATACTACATATCTCTTACCACAGGATAATGCAGGAAAAGATGGTTTATGATTTCTCTGTTATCTTCACACAGCACACACAGGAATCAGATTGGATGTTTATGCCTTTTCTGAGTAGATTGTCTCTAGTGAGACATCTGTCTAGAATCACAGACCACATTAGAAAGGCTACTTTTGAAGGGAGCTGAAGTAACCAGATCTGCTCGCAGGGGAAGTTTGGACTCTGGGATATTTGCCAGCTTCTTGTAGACTGAAAATTTTCAACCTCTAGCATCTAGTATCAACCTCCAGAAAAAGAAAATTTTCAGCTTACACCACTCTTAACAATTTTCTTTTTTCAACCTCCAGCATCTAGTATCCATCTGATTTCTATCTGGAAATTTTCTTTTGAGAAAATTAAGAGGGGCAGCCAGCTCATTTATCTCCCAATCATTTAGGTTCCTTTGAAGAGGAAGGCACCAGGACACCAGTTAATCTTGGGTTTCATAAATTTCAACCACTCCAGCATCTTTGTTTTCAGCTAAACTGAATAGGGAGGGAAATCTCTCCATCAGAGCCCTATCCCCACACCATACATCTCTCAAAAATCTGACTATTTCACCACTGCCTCCCTTCAAAGTGTGAGAAACATGCTTTACAATTTCACACAGAGGCCTCACCTCATGTTTTTTTTCCCTTCAGCCTCATGTCAAGGCATAAGCCTTGTATGCTTTTTTTTTATAATATTGGCTTGAACAAACAAACAGAGATAGGATGATTGGTTTATTTATCTTTGGACAATAACTGATTTTGGTTGTGTGGTGTTTCGAAGGATTCAATCAATAAAAAGTGGTTACCCATGAGGTTGGCCCACATTAACTTATATACATTGTTATTATTATTCAAATGAATACGAAATCACAAAATATAATAAAAAAATACCAGGTAAGCTGAGTACCCTATGCACACAGAGGGTGAAGTTAAGCCAATGAAAGAGGTCCAATTTCTGATGAAATTTTCTCATAAATGCATGACTCTAATTCACTATTCCAAAACACCATGGAGCATAACATGATGTGGTAACAATCTCATACATAAAAGTTCAAATAAAGATATTGCTAAAGCTTACCACTTCACAATAGAATTTTCATCACTGCCATCCATTCCAGGACCGGTGTCAAAAATAGCAATTCCTCGTTTGTCAATTGTCACTCTATGTAAAGGAATGAATACCACATTAAGACTGAAGATCCCAAAATGCATCAAAGGAAAACAAAGAATTTTCATATCAAATAAGTAAATCTGATGTGCAGTTAAAGTAACAATTTTCCAGTTTCCACAGATGGTTCATCCTAAGTGGAATTTCCATTTTCTAAGATGCACCAAGATCATAAAAAATAGAACAGGCCAAAAACTTTGTAGGCCCTCTCTCCTTATGTGGATAAGAACTTTCAAGTAACCATGGATCATTTAATCTGCTGACATATATTGATCAAAATCTCCAACAAACACAATGGTAGCACTAAACTGGACTTGTAAATGTCAGTAACATCACCACCAAAAGGGGTTCTCAACAGAGATGAATAGGTACCACTTACCTACAAACTGTAATACAAGATACCTGTGCATAGAGCTATCAATGGACCAGATCAACCAACCAGACCAAAAATCCAACTCTATTACACAGGGTTTGGATCTGCATAATGAGTTACAAATTTCAATTATCAATAGGGTTGGTTCTGGATCTGCCTAATCCAAAGCCCAAACAATCCAAGCAACCCATGCAAAACTTTAGGCTATGTCAAGCTGTTGCATGCACAAATTGCAGCCCTAGTTAATTTTCTTCTTCATTTTTAATATCACTAAAAAACCATAATAATTTTATTAACATCAAAATCTTTCATATGCCATACACCTAACCATTAATGGCAGGACCCAAGATAAGTGAACCCAATTAGTATATGTTAGGTTTGATTAGAGCTAACAAACTTTAAAGCATTTGATTTCTTTTAGAATTCAGCTTTGCATATTTTTATGTATTAATGCTTTTTTTATTTTTTTAAATTGTGTCTAGATTCATCCAGGCACATGCCACACCTGGTGCCTTGCACTTTGAGCACTAAAAGGCCCTTTCACTTTTCTTGCGCCTTTTACTTTCAAAACATTGCCATTAACACCAACTATGTTAACCATATCTTTCTTTCAGCTATCTAGTTTCCGTGATATATTGTTTGTTCCTCACTCATTGACCTCATCTTTCTGGTTCCAGGCTCCCAGCTTAGATATCATACTCATATTATAGCCCGCAATATTTCCATAATGGAAAATCTCTGCCAGTTGTTAAGCAGCCATGCTGGAGACTGCAGACATCTTACTGGTGTCAAAGAATGACAGACATTTTTTACAATAACCTTTTAAGGAGAAAAGTTAACAACAAATTTAGAGGTAATAATAGATTATGTGATTCATTCAAATGTTAAGGATGTGAACATTACAAAATTCTAATGTTCTTTACCTGCCCCTGTCCAAGATCTCAAGTGATATTATAAAGGGAGCATAGAAAAAGGGAGTGGGTAGGAAAAGCAAAAAAAAAATTTACTGAGTTCAATACTCTGAAACAACTAACAAGAATTGTGTTAACAGACATACCTAATTAATCTCCTCTCGTCAGGACTATTAGACCATATAGCTTGTAATGAATTGTCCTAGTAAACAATAAAATAATGTGCTATAAAACAAAGGCCGCAATAACAAGGAACTTAAGCAGTCAACCAATTGTATCCGTTACAAGAATCAAATCTGGGTAGCTTACTATTAGGTCAGCTAGAGCAGTCTCAAACGTATACTCTTCCGGAAGCTCCATGAGTAAATCTGTGTCTGGAGTCAAATCCCACATATTCTACAGCCCCAGCCAAACAAATTGTGTTTAGAATAGAATTCAAATAGAACTTTTGATAGAGCAAGTAAATGTGTGTGAGCACAGCAAATACACCACGTGTACAAATAGGAAGAGGTAATTCAACAAAAAGGAAAATTAAGAAATTGATGGAATAGACGGCTAAAATCACCTCAAACCTATCAGCAATGTCTTCGGCACCATCCTAATCCACAACAGAGAAACGGAATGTTAATGGTTCATTAATCCTTGGAATTTGAAATAGTAAAATAAACAAATTTGTTATACATGCGACTGCAGACTCACGTGAAACTTTAAGATGTGGCACTTAAATGGTTTGAAGTTTTTGAAATAGATTTGCTTTCTGAATTTATTTTCAAAAACATCCTCCAGATAAATGCTTTTGCTCTTCCACAAAATCTTTCGCCTGGGCTTGGAGGTTTCCGTTGTTTTAGTATTCCTGAAATATTCATGCTTGACAGCATCTATAAACTCATGCACGTAAATCATTTCCCCTGGCTCTCGCAATGTTAGCTCCGTGGTGGTGCCATTCGGTAAAAGAATCCTGAATTTGTAGACCTTCTCGTCGCTGTCATCCAGGCACTCTATAATGGACCTCTTGCTAGGCGTCTTACGTTCCATCCTTTTCTGCTGATCAAAATTCCTAAGGGACGGGAAACAAAAAATGTAAACAGAAAAGAACATTTCTGAACATCAAAATCGCAAAGCCTAGACTGTCTAAGACCACTTAAGCTAGTGAAACCACAAACTGAAAGATTGGAGAAATTAAACCATTACCTTCTTCTAGTGATTTTCAACTTGAAGTCTTGAAGAAAAGTGCTCAGTCGCTCTGTGCCGTACGGTGAACGCGAGAGGTTTCGCTAACCGTGGATAACGACTGGGGTTTTCATGGAGAAACTCGAGCGATAATAGGCAGCAAAAGTGCAAAACCACAGGTCTGGCGGAAGGGTTTAGCGCGAAGAAAGAGTTGCCAACTTCCTGAAAGCTGAAAGTTGAAAGTTGAAACAGTAACTGAGCCTCTGAGAGCAGAGAGAATACCGAGAGTCCGTTAAATAAAGCTGTGCTCTATGGCAAGTTTTTTTTCTAGAATGCGAGCCACGAGCAATGCGCACCAGCCCACATTTAATGACACGCAAGCATTGTAATTTTCTATAATCGATATGCTGCAGCTGATAAGCAGTCTATAGTTTGATCTAGACCTTCCATAGTCATAAAAAATTATGTAGACCACAAAGGACGACAGTCGCTTTGGTCTTTATTTGGAACTCGGATGTGATCCTCCGTATTCATTTATTGATGAGAAGGGATAAGGGAAACGTCATTATCATCTTTACACGACGTGGGCCGGGCTGCTTTGCTGCGGGGACCGAAAGCCCTTTTGCTTCAGCGCGAAGCAAAGTGATGTCCGTAAGATGCACAAAATTTTTCATTAAATTTTTGAATTTTCTGCTTTGTAGTTATTTTTGTATTATTTATGGTAAAAATATTTTTTGATATATAATTATTTTTAAATAAAGTTGATTAAGGGTAAGTTTGATATTTAAATAAAATTAATGTATTGCATCAACATTTTCTATATGTTAATTGAAGGAAAGTATGCACCTTTTTTCAAAATATTATGGGAGCTTTTTTGTTAATGTCAAAACATATATAGGGGAGGTTCATATGATTGTTAGAAAACTCAATGAGGTTTTTATAATTTTTCTTATTTTTAAACAGAATTTAAGTTGATTTTATGTTAGTTAAACTATATTTAAGGTTAATAAATTTTTACTATATTTTCTTTTTATTAATCCTTATTAAATTTAATTAGTTATATTAATTTTTTTAATTTTCAATGGAATTTAAGTTTGTCAGTAAAAATTAATTACAAAACTAACAATTTTTGTGTTTGTTTTATATTAATTTTAAATGGATATTAGTTTTTAATTCATCTTATTACTTTTTATTAATTTATTTGTTTTTACTATATTAATAAAAATATTTTTATCAATAATAATTATTATTATCTTATTTAAGTAATTTAATGAATTATTTTACTATGGTTAATTAATTTTTATTATTTCAAATGTAATTTGGATTGCAATCAGATTTGGAATAACATGGATAAATTAAATTTGAAATCATCAAATATTTTGTATTATTAATAAATAAAGTAAAATTTGAACAAAAAAATAACCTTAATATTGGATATCATGAACAAAATGAATTGAAAATAATTCAATCTTTTAGGTGTTAATTGATCTGGTCACTATAGTATATAAGGGTATTTATGGGTAGGTTTGATTTGGTTCCAAGGCAGAATATGGAGCCTACATTGCAGGAGTAGGCTCCCACCCCCCCNATAATATATTAATTTATGATTCAAAACTTATCATTTTAATTTTTTTAAAATATTACCTCTTATACTACTTATTACATATATTCAAACATTAAATTGAATAAAAATAATAAAATCATTTAAGTGATTCAATGGGCAAATGAGGCTATAATCTTTGTAACCATAAGTGATTGGGTTCAAATATTCACATACTTAGCATAAATTGAAAGGTAAAAGCTAATTGGAATGTATTTTTTTCGCATACTCACTCTCTTAGTTGGTATCCGTTAGTGGTGAACAAAACAACATATACCATACACACACACACAACAAGGTTTATCCAAATCCCAAACCAAAATAAACTGTAATGAATTTTAATACTAAAATCAATGTAGATAGGTTATAGAGGATCTCAGCAATTTGGATCAAGCAATATCTAAATTCAATCCATAAAAATTAATTTTTGTACTAATCCATTTTGATCATGGATAAATTGATATCTGAGAACAACTTAAATGAGTCATGTTCAAATTTAAATCAAATAAAATCTAATCCATTTGCATTCATAAGATCTCGGATATTTTATGCGTGGAACATATAGCAAGTTCTAATAATACTAAGAAGAAGAAGAAGATATGTGGTTCCTATTCTAAGACCTCAATATGTTCCTTAAATGCTATCCTTTCTTCCAACAATAATTTGAAGTAGTATCCAAACTTTAAAATGTTTCACTGCAATATCTAAACTATTGAAAATTGTCAATTCAGTACATGCCGTTAACAGTCTGTTAGTTATTTGTATCACTTGATGACATGTATGACTTCAACTTTTTGAAAATGTCAAAACTACCCATTTTGATATTTTTGAGATCATTTTATCCTTTTATTTAAAACATTAAAAATTTGGGTTTTCCCACTTTTCATTTAAGTTTGGCCATTGAATGAAGAGAATACAGAGCACTGTTGAACAAAACTTCAAGTATATACAAAACTGACTACCCTCTAGACCATTTTGATGGAGAGGAATAGCAAAAGTTTTGAAGGCAAATCCTCTAAAAAAACGAACTGATGCACAATACAATAGCAAAGATATTTTTTTCTTGGTCACAAGCGTTTAGTTGGGTTGTCCTTTTTTTTTCCATTTTCCCATTTTCTTCAAAAATCAATATCACAAATCAAAACTTTGATGCATATGTATGCACATCGATTGTGCTTAGAAGTGTGAAAACTACCTTCTATCCTCCCTATGTTGGTGTGAAACAAAGCTCTTATGGCCTTTTTTTTCTGTAATTTGTTTTATTATTATGTATCAGTTATGCTTATTTATTTAATTTTTGAGATCAGAACTGATGGATTGCTATTTGTTTTATTTTTATGTATATATTGTGAGCACCCCCATTGAGTTCGTATGATAATGATTCATCAGAACTGAATCAAAGATGGTTTCAACTAATTTTGCAAAACTTGATTGGAATCTTTCTCATTTTGTTAAAAAATGCATGACATCTACCGCAAACAGTTTCACATCAAAGTTTCTTTTCACTACTTCAGATGATGACAGTTCATTGTTGACAGTCATTATTGCCATCAGAATTGATGGGGGTATTAGTTGATTTATTTTTATGTATCACAATGACATGGTTGGTTGAAAAAGATAAATTAGATGATAATCGAAGTACATTTGTGTCATTTTATACATCACTAAACATCGATTAGTGACTAAATAGTTTTTGGGAGTTTACGTGCACGCTTTGAAATTCAGGTGCTAAACTGAGACTATCCTTAAAATACAGGGTACTAATTTAGAATTTGCCCTTATTTAATTATAATACCCTCAATATATTATGTTATTTAATATTCGATACATTGTGGTAATGGAGTTAAATGGATACTCGAGTGTGTTGAATATTTCATTCAAACAGGAAAATAAAGCTCAATTGAGGGCAAACCAAGTTTCAAATAGAAAGTATCTTAGTGGAGTTGAGCTTAAGTGATACAATATATAAACTTTGCTTTGATTCAACTAAATATATTTTATAATAAAATCATGGAAGTATTTCATTCAAATAGGAAAATAAAGCTCAACTGAGGGCAAAGCAAGTTTCAAATAGAAAGTATCTTAGTGGAGTTGAGATCAAGTGATACAATATATAAACTTGGCTTTGACTCAACCAAATACATTTTATAATAAAATCATGGAAGTAGAAGTACAAATTGTATTTTGTACTTTGGACCATATTTGGTTGCAGTGCAATTTGATTTGTACTAGTACAAATGAAAATAATACAAATTCTGATTTAATTTTGTTTTGGGTTTTACTTTATTCTCCTCCAGGTCTTATTTTACTTCATTTCTACTGCAATCAAACAAAATAAGGTAATTTTGAAATATTGCACCAAAATCATTTACACTACCATGGTTTTGCATCAATGAAAATAAATTCTCATCACAACCAAATACGGCCTTGGCATTCTAAAAAGTTACAAAGCACAAAATCCGTCTAAAACATTGCATAAGAATCTATCAAAGGGGAGGGCAACTATCATCATCACAACGGCTTATACTCTTCTTCCATTGACATATACAAATATTATTTACATGAAGCTACAACATATATTCGTTTTCTTCACATCGGCATATCTTCTTGAGTATTGGCTCCATTATTTGTAAATGAGGTTATATTTAAAAAGACTAAAATATATGTAAACAAATCAAAGATATTATTTAATTCTAATATAAAAAGATCATCGTTGTAAAACAAAAATTTTTAAATATCATATTAAAAAGATATTAATTTAATAAATAATAAATTTAATTTGTTGTACATACATACATATGGATTATTTTTCTTATGTAAATAAAGTTATAACCATGAAACAAGGTAAAAAAATAAAATTTCAAAACATAGGAAGAATATTAAAACAAATATTATGAAAATAAATATAAAAATTCATTGTGAAATAAATATATTGTATTCTTAAATATATAAAATCTTAAAGATAATTTCACAATATATTATTTAATTTATATATGAAGGTTATAAACATAAAAAATTAAAAAGAATAAGATTCATATAAGATAATGTGAGAGATCAGGTTAAGTGCTCACAAGATTGTGTTCACATCATTTGCTTCTATGTGTTCTTTTTTCATAAGGAGATGCAAGGCAATGTGCGAATGGTGTGAGCACAATATTGTGTGTGTACCCTTTCCAAGGCCTTTGATAGCACTATAAGTAGCGAAGTAAAATATTGGAGCTTACGTAATCAGTTCTAGGCTTGTCAATTGCCAAAACTAAGATGGTGTTTGCTATGACTTCCGTTTCCTAGTTTAACRATGCTAGCTCATTGCCATGTAGGTGTTTATTTCAAAATGTCATTTGGTAAATCTGTTTATTAAATAAACGTTTAACTCGGTTTACGTGCAGGCCAACCATTAGGGAAAGCTTCATTTTAGTATGTGCTTGAAACTGTGGACATTTATTGACTAAACGTTTTGTACTTAATTTGTTTGGAAAACCGAGAAAAAGCAATGATAAACCATGTTACATCAACAAAACAATGAATAAATGTCTACCCTTGGGGGAAGCACTAAAATGAAGCTTCCCCCAACAATAGGCACCCATATAAACCAAAGTCTACTTTTGCAAGTCCCAATGCGTATAGATTCACATAATGGGGGAAATGCTGAAGTGGCGCCTATATAACAGTATTATTTAATAAATGCCCACCATGACTCCGGATCTCTTGCCCACATGAACTCTGTCCATGCCCTACCCACAATACACTACCCCCCGTGAATTGGGAACATCTTCCCCTGCATA